TTTTTTTCTTGCGCTCATCATATTGGATTTAATGTTCGTAAGGATCATGATACATTTTGGCCTAACTCTGGGAATATTAAGATGAAGAACTATGTATGTGGAAATGCAGGTTTCAAGAAAGAGTTGAAAATCACAGAAACTCTTAAATATAAAAGAGCATAGACAATAAGTCGTTGCCCTGCAATGATTCAATACACAGTTGATGAGGAATGCAATTGTATGTCAAAAAATTCATTGAATCTCATAACCATTCATTAACAAACCCTGGTGATAAAACATGTTGCGTTCCAGCAGAAAGATAAGTGAAGTCAATGCAAGTGTTCTTAAATCGATGACATAGTCAGGGATAAGACTTAAATACGTGTTTAACTTTCTAGCCAAAGAAGTTGGGGGTGCAAGGAACCTGTAATGTACGAAGACAGATACTTTCAATTTCGTTCAAAGAGAGATGAGATATAGAATTGAAAATGGTGATGTCAATGCTTTATTGCAGTTGTTCGCAGAGAGACGTGCTGAGGATAGCATGTTTGAATGAGATTTTAAAACTGATGAGAGTGGTAGGCTAATGAGTTTTTTTTCTTTGGAGCGACAGAACATCCATGCTTGAATATGACTGTTTTGGATAAGTCATTATTTTTTATACGAGCTATAGATTAAATAAATATAACTTATGTTGTGCTCCTATTGTTGGTGTTAACTACAATTGCCAGAATATTCTCTTTGGAGTCAAATTATTGTCAGAGGAGACGGTGGACTCGTTTAAATGACTTTTTAAAACATTTATCTGTATCATGGGTGATAATCATCCAATAACAATCTACACTGATCTAGATCATGCAATGGGTAAAGTCATAGCAGATATTTTGTCAAATACACGACATAAATTATGTCAGTGACACATATACAAGAAATTGTGTACAAAGGTTCAATGTGAGGTGATGAATAAGATAGTCAGTGTTCTTTTTTATAACTGTTTGAGCAAATGCAACTCTGAAAATGACTTTGATGATACATGAGAGGTGATGATTGCACAAGTAATCTACAAAATAATGTGTGGCTAGATGAGATGTACAAGATTAGACATAACTTGTCAACAACTTTTAATAAGGATGTATTTAGAATGGAAATTTTATTGGCCCAGCGAAGTGTGTCAACCAATAACATTTGTCACTGTATCTCAAAGCCCACGAGTTCCATTACATATTGTTTTTTGGGCAGTGAAAATGTCATGAGAACATGAAGACGTAACAAGGACGAGGATTTTAAGTGTGATCAATTTGTGATTACTCCTTTCAAAAAAAATAGCCCAATACTGAGACAAACAACTGCATTTTACTCAAGGAAGTTGTACACAATATTTGATGAAGAGTTTATACACGGATCATGTGGTCTTCAATTACATGCCTCTTTAAACTCTCAAATTGAAATTTTTATTAAGAATTTGGATAATAACATACAAACACTACTTGGGTAGTTAATTTCGATAGTTTGAGTTTGAATATTCAGTACAACTGCAGAAAGTTCGAAATGATGAAACTACTATATGCACACTCTCTACGAGTTCTGAACTTTCCACATATTAATAAGATGCCTAATAAATATCTCATATTGAGATGGTCGGAAAATGCAAAAAGAGATGTATATAACAGTTATGGATACAAGCATCTGCAACAGTCACAAACGTCGAATGATATTAAAGGCGACCTAATATTCCAAATACATATGCAAAAAGTTGCATATCAAATTACCAATAAAGCAAAGGGAAATCTAGAAGCTGAGCATTGCATGAAGGAGTCCATGAATAAATTGTCATTGGATATTAATGATATATTAATTGGTAAAGGCTCTCAGGCAAGGAGATAACGAAAGAAAAATAAAAAACCAATGAATAATGAATCAAATTTAAATGATCCTGCCAAAATGCGCCCTAAATAAATATCTAATGTCAAACTAAAAGGGTTATGGGAGAGAACTAAAAGAGCAAAAGGTATATTTCCGCAACTATAATCCTTTTTCATATGCTTTATCTAACGACAAGTTTTTCACTCATTACCGTTGCATACAAGAAAGCAAAAAGATGTTTCAACCACCGAAGAACCAAAATCATCACAATGTCATCCACCCATATGCTCACTGCCCAATTTTTCAACACAGGTATGTAAAGTTTTTGTTATTGCTAATACTTGAATATGTACTTGTTCTATAATACTAATGAATTTCTGATAGTGAGTTAGATATATATTGTTGATACATAGATATACACTGCAAAATTTCTTTCCTTCACGAACCATGGAACCTTACATCGCCATGATGATTGATTCAATCTATGAAACAACAATGCCTCAACGTTATTTCTTTTAATATTTTATCAGGATGAAGCGGTTATATGCCATTTTGCTTATATATCTAATAGATTTAATGTTCTTTCATGCTAGATATTCCAAAACCAGGTGAATAAGCTTACAGAGATGTCAACATAGCAGTTTTATATCTC